GCAAGGCGGGGCCCCATGCAGCCTGCGTGATTGGCCTGTAGGGAGGGGCGGCCCTGTGCACCTACCTACATAGCACATAGTACACCTACAATATCCCTTGTAAGCTATGCATCTCCAATGACTAAAGCCAAATGAAAATGGCATGACAACATTTAACCAAATATATGTTAAAACAATATATTTCCACACTTGAATTTGTCATCTGATATTGGTAAGACTACTCTGACTATACCTTATAGGAGGCTGAATTTCCACTGGGGTCTGTAAAAAGTAAAATGTGTCAGTGGTAACCGTCAAACCTTAAACTCTTAAGTCAATGTGTTCAATAAGTCACTCCTGCTTTAGATGAAATGCAGCTTATATAGTCATTACACTCAACTTTGACTTTATGTATTTTAGGAAGTTATGGCTAGGCAGCAGCTATCTGTGGAGGAGAGAAGGAGAAGAAACAGGGAATATCAAAAAAGGCGGAGAGAGAAAATACACAGTGAGGCAGAGTTAAAGGAGGAATACCTCAGAACGGAAAGACAAAGATGGAAGAAGAGGGTGGAGGAAGGGAAGCTAACAACTGTCAATGACATGAATGAAAGGGAAAAGAGAAGTCAGAGAAAGGCTTGGAAACATAGACAACAGAAATCAAGAGAACGTAAGAGAAAGGGCTCAGATCACCCAGTAACTCCCCCAGATAGTCCAGTGGATCATGCCATACACGAGCCAGCTCGGAGTAGGCAGGCTATAGCAGGAGAAAGGGAAAGAAAGAAAACAAGAGCAAGATACGCTGAAAAAGCGTTGGGTACGAGAACAAACTAGGAATAAAAAAACACAAGAATCACCAAGAAAAAAAACAGAGCAGCTGCTGCGGGGAAGCCAACTCAAAAACCCCTCAATCAAGAAAACTCTGCTGTTCCACAATGCACTCATTCATGAACTGAATCAAAACAAGTCTGCTCACAAGAACAAGAACTTGACTCTGTCAGGCAAGGTTCTGAAGAAATATCGTCTAATTCACCAGACAAGGCAGTTTGCGTAACATATAACACACTGCGGAAGAGGAGGCTTACTGACAAAAAACCTGCATACATTCAAACAATAACTCAGAGGGTTCAGGATTTCTACCATAATGCAGCACGAATGACGACTGACAAATAGGACACAATAACACGGAAGAAAATAAAGCATCAGAGAATGATTCTGACTGATACAGTATTGAACCTCCACAAGGAGTTCATCAAGAAGGAACCAACAATGAAACTCAGTTACTCATCATTCTGTGCCTTACGTCCGTTCTATGTCACAGCACCAAGACCATCAGATCGCAAGACATGCCAATGCCAGTACCATGAAAATGCTAAGCTGATGCTTGAAGTCCTAAGAGAAAATGGTGTTGTTAAGTTTAACAAATTGGAGGATAGTTTTGAACTTGTTTGCTGTTCACAGACAAGTGAGGCATGTCTTCTGCGCTCCTGCACACGGTGTCTCTACAAACATACACTTCCCACACCACAGCAAGAGCAGACCAATGTTGAATGGCAGCAATGGGAACGAGTTCAGGACCAAACAGCAGATGGGCTCCACTTCAACACAAGACTTGTAATGCACAGTGGGCACGCTGGCAGAGCTCATCCAACTATATGAAGACAAACTGAAGAGTGAAACAACAACACATGTGTGCTCGGTTCAGAACCAGTCCAGAGAATACAGGAGCATGATAGAGAACTGCAATGATAGCACAGTAATTCTGCATGTGGACTTTTCTGAGGCATGGAAATGCAAGTATAGTTCTGAGGTACAGTCATGCCATTTTGGTCAGAACCTCCCACAGCTCAACCTGCACACTGGCATGTACTACACAAAAGAAGAGAAGACAGGATTTTGCACAGTATCAGAATCCAAGCGACAAGATGCGTCTGCCATTTGGACTCAAATGGAACCAGTCCTGAGAGATATTCGTTTAAAGTTTCCAAAAGTTGATACTATTCACTTTTGGTCAGATGGCCCCAGCAAGCAGTACAAAAACAAGAACAACTTTTTTCTTCTCTGCAGTGTCCCTCCAACACTAGGTTTCCAGAGAACAACCTGGAACTTCTTCCCCACCTCACATGGGAAGGGAGCGCCAGACGGCATTGGAGGAACTGTGAAAAGGACTGCAGACAGTCTTATACTGCGGGGGAATGACATTGTGGATGGCATATCTTCCATGAGATGGTTGGCAGAAGCCTTTGCAGTACTAAGCTCTATATTATTAATGAAGCTGACATGCCATATGATGCACTCCTTTTTCAACCACTAAAACCTGTACCTGCAACAAGCAAACTCCATCAGGTCACACCGACACACCGAAACAACTCTGAGATCCATTGCAGATCACTGTCCTGTTTCTGCAGTGAGTGTTTCTGCCCAACAATATTCCAGTTGATTGCCAACACACCCAGGGCAGAGTCCTGCATCGGGTCGGGTACCCGCGGGTACCCAACGGGTGACCCGCAAAAAAGGTGATTCGCGGGTGGTATTTTTTCAAACGCTTTTTTCCGGGTTCGGTTCTGGGTAAAACAAAGATGATGCGGGTCGGGTCGCGGGTATTGCATAATAAATATATTAAAATAATAATAAATTAGTTTAATGTTAAAATCCTCAGACCTCTCCCCCGCGGGACCGCGCATAATCATAACCTCTGCAGCGCATCAATCTGCTGCTGTGCGCGCCACATTCGAAATGGCTGAGGTGAAGCTCTCTAGCGGAGAATACAGCATTTTCAATAACACTTCCTCAAGAGCCAAATCCAACGTCTGGGAGGCTTTTTGTGTCATCCTAGATGGAGGAAATAACCAACATCCCACGCTTTCTGAGACAAATATGAAACTGCGTGTGTTAATAATTGCACGTTTTCACTGCTCATAGGCTATGCGGGTTCGGGTCGGGTTGTGGAAATAATTGGCAATATGTGCGGGTAGCGGGGCGGGTTCGGTATTGCACGTCGTGGGTGTGGGGCGGGAGCGGGTCTTGAAAATCAGACCCGTGCAGGACTCTGACCCAGGGTACAGGTTGAGGATGATGGTCCTATACCAATGCAAAAGAAGAAAGGTCCTTTGGAAATGTTGATGGAGGAAAGTGAGCAGGAGGAAAGTGAGCAACAGCCAATGACCAGGAGGGGTCCTGACGGGACTATGACAGATCTATCTGTTGATGTAGTTCATTGCGGAGATTGGCTGGCGGTCATTTATGACCAGAACTGGTGGTTAGCAAAGGCTGTCACTGTGGATGCACCTCATCAAGATGTAAAAGTGGAGTTTTTCCACCCTCATGGGCCCAACACACGATTCTATCCAAAAGAGGTGGAAGGTGGAAAGGATATGTGCTTCATACCATTTGACCATATTCTGGTCAAACTTGTGGAACCGTCATCACCAGGTCGTGCAAGCAGGACGAGGGAGATATACAACCTGTCTGTGAAGTCATGGACTTCATAGAGGAGAAACATAATACACCATATAGGCCTACGTCCTGATAAAGCTGAATGAGTGGTGGAGTGATGTAGAAACAGTCAGGGAATACTCACAGGAGTTCACTTATGAATTATTATTATTATTATAATTATTTTGTGCCAGATGTGTTTTGTGATGTTTACACAGAATGCTTTCTGTATTTAGAAACATTTCAGTTTATGGAAAAGAGACTGTAAGATGTAGTTATTCATTTATCTGTTCTTCACGTTCAATATACAGTTTATAGTCCAGTTTACAGAAGAATATAATGTATATTATTTTTTGAGTGGGGGGCACGAGACGACAGTTCACAGTGAGTGATGAATTCTTATCTTATTGCTACTGGTATTTTTTACTATGATGATTATTAATGGGGATGGGGTACTTTTATTAATGATAGCTTATTGCTTCATTGAACCTATATGTTTATTATTGAATGTTTGCCACAGTGTTCACAATTGTTATTTGTTATCTGTTCTTCACGTCCAATATACAGTTTACAGAACAATATAATGTATTATATTATGAGTAGGGGGCACTAGATGACAGTTTAAGATGATGTCAGTAATGAATTGTACATTATTGCAACTGGTAATCACTTTATTTTTTAACTATGATGATTTGATATTTGATGATATGGGGGTGGGGTACTTTTATTAATGATATTGCTTAATTGTACCTTAAGTTCCTTAATTAAATGTTTATCACAGTTCTCACAATTGTTATTTGTTGTACCAAATTGTTAAATAAAGTTGTTAAGCAAGGCATTGACTTGAGTGGTATACATTTTGGAATTGTATGTTGTAATGAGGCCAGTGTCACCACCGTCAGATTAGTGTCACCACCGTCAGTTCCAAAGTCACCACCGTCAGAGGGAGTTTTATTTGTTTTAAATGAATATGCTTGTAATCTGTTTCTTCAGTGCTGTTGAGTTATTAAAGTAATATTCTCTTTTAATACAACAATTTGTTTTTTAAGTAAAAAAACATTACTTTGTCTGTTTAAGCTAAAAGTAAACGTTGTATGATGTAAGATCTTTTAAAGGAGCACACGTGAAACAGTATAAAAAATGAGCAAAAGTGAATATTCAACATTTTACAGCATATATGTGTACTTAGAATGCCAGATAATGATTTAAAAATAATGATTTAAAAATACATATTAGACTAAATACAAATACAAAATAAATCACTTTTTATTGTGTCTGACGGTGTTTACAAAAACAAAGTAATGACTGGAAAAACCTATTTTATGAAAAAAATACAAAATGAGGAGGTTGCACCGGTACATTGCTGAAAAGCCAAGACCTTGGTCTATAATGATATAACTTCAGATTTTGTCATTTCAAAATTAAAACCTCTTTTATCCAAATTCCCAAGAATCAGTGAGCTGCTAAATCTGCACAGATCAAACTGAAAGATAGTTTAATCCACAAAGTACCCATAAAGGATTAAATTCATTATGGATTTGTTTGGGTTTTAAATAAGGAGATAGGCCCTGTGTGTGTGCTTCACTCACGTATGTCCTATCTCGTGGGCGATAGTGAAGGCTGTTCCCAGTCCGATGTCCTCATTGATGCTGCAGCTCCTCTCCGGCTCACACATCCCTCCTACCGGAGCCAGACCTGCCTCACACACACACACACACACACACACAAATCAGTACTATACAGTAATAATAACATTATGCGTGCTCTGTAATATCTGTCTTTGGTCCGATTTGAGTTTCAAATATTTTGGCCTATCTATGACTTGGTTTTAGGATTACACTTAGAATTCCATTTTAGTTCAGTTTAGTGTATAGGTTGAGGATAGGCATTCAGTTGTGAGGCCTACGGTCAGGCTAAGGGGTGAGGATTCTTATAAGAATAGTACAGTGAGTATAGTGTTTGAAAAGTACAAATATTCATATGTGTGTGTATGTATGTATGTGTCTGTGTGTGTGGGTGTGTATTACCTAGGGTTTCACAGGGCTTGTTCTTTTGGATGCAGATGTCATATCTGTACACAAGAACGGAAACAACAAGGCTGTTAGACTAATAACTACATACTGACACACAAACAGAAACAGCACCACTTAATAGATGTAATCACACATTGATATGCAAAAAGACTCCTAAAATATTCAGATATTAGTTCTTATTATTTAAGGAAACATAGCAAGTCCTGCATTCAAAATCTTACCCAAGTAAAAGTACAACAGTATTAGCATCTAAAGATACTTAAGTAACTTGTATAAGAGTACTCAATATGTATCATGTTATTGGACTATAGTTAGCTGATAGATGTAGGGCTGATTTTAACTCTTGTTTTCTGCTGGATAGCTCAAATAAATGTATTGCATTTAAAGTGGAGGGAAATACAATATTCCCCTCTTAGATGGAGTATAAAGTGGCATAGAATGGAAATACTTAAGTACAAGTACATGGGCTCAAAAATTGTACTTAACAGTACTTGACTAATTATATACTGAATTTCATTTAACCACTGCACATTGACATTGAGATGTAGTAACCCTCCCAGATGGTGACACTCACAGAGACAGACGTGATAGCAGACAGATATAGATTTAAAAGAACAAAAGCAGGAAACCATGGACGGTCACTGTGGTGTCATCTGTCTGGACAGTTTCCATCCTCTGCTTGATAAATCCTCTCGTAAAACCCAAGTGTTCTCAAAAAGCCACCACCAAAAGCACAAGACAATCATCAATCTTATATATTTTTATGGCACATTCTGTGAGGAAGAATAGGAATTTATTTGTGTGTCAGCTCTGTCCTGTCTGATTCAGATGACTCTGTCCAAACCATGGTTGTGCTGTTAGCTGTTGCACATTCCTCAGTCAATAGCACATTGTTGAGCTGCTTAAAATGCAGATACCACTGTTGTCTGTTTCCTCCAGTATTAGTAACAGAAAGGGCAGTTTGAGAAATAACGGAAGATCGCGGGAAACCAGCGCTGTAAGATTCATCGCAGCTTTTCTTTGATTTCTGCCCACTTTCTTATCCTGTCCATTTTCTCTGGGCTGCTTTCTTCAAAACATAAATATGTCACTTGCTCTCTTTTCATATCTCTTTTACGTTTTACTTTCCAGATGCTGAGTTGAGCAGAGCCGCCACTGCTATCGTCACCTCAAACAGGACAAGATACAGTCTAACTCTCTGGACTTGGCGTGATGAAAGCCTATGAGGATAAGGGCTGGGAATGTAGGAATTCAGCTAAGAGGAAACGCTGCTTTAACCCTTTTTTGCCCTGGGAATCAGCCTTAACATATTTTTATTTTCAAGTCGCAGTAGGAGCGTTATGTTGCCCAGTGCAGCTTCTTGTTGTGCACCCACACATTGGGAAGTTTTGTGTTGGACTTACAAACAATGTCTTCATTCTAAATTTCCTTTGTAAAATAATTTATGAAGAAAGCTCTAAAACACAGTTAGTCTTTAGTTCTTACTGCTTTGAAGAAGGTTTCTTACCTGGTGATAAGCACAGCAGTGTCATGGTGAGCGATCCCGTTGTCTGGGATGGCGTTACCGTAGCTGCTCCGGTGCTGGATGTTTTTCTGCCACTTACAGAAGCTGTCTAAAGACTTCCCTGCATGGTGGTTGATCTCTAGGGTTGGCTGGAAGAGAGACAAGAGAGGTAATAAATAGTTAAAAGCAAATTAGGAAAATAAATATACGTAATATTATCTTGAACGCATAAAAGGAGAAAACGATTCAAGCAATTGTATATCTTTGAAAAGATACTCAACTTAGTAATATAACTGTATTCAAGTGTCAACAAGGGGTGATTTCAACCCTCAGATGATAAGCCCAACAATGCTATGATAGCCCAGCCTCAGTCTTTCTGTATTGCATTGTTTAACCACACCAGTTATTTTTACTGTGCTGGGAAACCATGAATCTCTAAAATGCCAATTTACATTACATTTTTCCGATTATCCAATGGTTTAGAATGGTTTTATTTAAAGAAGTTGGCATTTTCTCAATACATAAAGAACCACATAATCTAAAATCAGCACATTCAGCGTTACATGGTTTTCATTAGATTGCATTTCATTGGGCTGTGTGTCGTGGTGAGAAAACATAAGGCTCCCAGTTTTAAAGGCTTAAGAAACTTCCTTGGCTTCGCTGCAAGTGAATGCTAAGGCACTGGCAGGTATACAGTGAAGGAGCTCTATAGTATAATGAGAGTGCACAGAGGAGAAAAAGAGAAGGGAGTGCTCTGCTGGCCACAGCTGGAGAGAACCCGTAACCAAGGAATGCATGTGGTGACATAACTAGTAATTGTCTCATCCCACAGTCTCTCATTTCTGGTCCCGATGCTGGCCTGATTTTATTTTCCAGGGGCAGCTTGCCGTTTTCAGAGCTGGAAACCAGCAGCAGGACTCTCGCCAAGACTACTCTCTATCCTGTCCTGAACTCAACCTCCACAGTCCATGGAGAAAGAATAACAACACTAATATTGCCCACCGCAAATGTTCCAAACATGAACTTCTTTACTCTGACAAAATGATGAACACATCCGAGAAGTAAATTATGGTACTAATTTTGAGGCAGTATGAATCATAAATGTTCCCTAATAAGACATTTATGGAGGAAACCTAAAACCACACTGTAATGCCTAATATTTAATTCAGTATGATTCAGATGTCAGATTGCTAGAATGTCAACATTATAACCGCCGCACCGTCTCACCACATGCGTTTAATGGCCGGCTAATAAGGACATTTAAGAGGTATTCAGATGGCCCAGTCATCTCCCTGGCTGTGATGATAAGGTCATGTACTTTTTATGAGCTGAACCCCAGACTAGATGTCAGTTGTGGATTCAGACTCTGCTCCTTCGATAACATCCATTCACTCACTTATGTCATACAACAAGAGACCGACAAGCTAAAAGCCCTGTGAGGCTCTGCACAGCAATGCTTTGAGCTACATGTCACATGCTAATATTCTTTAAATTACCTCCTAAATTGCCAATATTTAGGAATGTTTTCTATGTTCACCTTCTGAATTAGCGTGTTAACATAGCATTAGCAAGTTTTAACCTGATAGTCGTCCTTGAAGAAAAAGTTACCCACATTTTCATCCTTGGGAGGACATCAATATTTGTAAAAACTCTTATGGTAATCTGCCCAACCGTTTTTGAGACATTTCAGTCTGGACAAAGTAGTGGACCAAGTGTCCGACCGTTATTGCTACACTGCTAGCGTGGCTCTAAAATATTTGTAAAATCATAAACGGAATCTAGAGGAATCTGCTGAATTTGGATCCTGATGGTGTTCTTTTGGGACTTAATTTAAAGGCTGTGTTTTGCATCAGCAGCTAAATCTAACTTCAAGTTTTTCTACACCCTGGATGTGCGTCATAGCAACGCTCATAGAGGTCACTGTTCATCAGAGTGAACCAGCAGGACAGTTACAAAGCTGCTCTGTCTGAAAGGTACAGACCCCCCCTCATATCCTTACTTTTCCGCCTTACCTCACCCATCTACCTCTTCCTTACAACCTCCCGTCTATTTCATTACAGCCACCATTCACAAGAGCCACTTACACACTCAGAGACCTGGGATCTTGGAGGAAAAGATACGTAAGCCAATAATTTGATTTCACAAGGAGCTCATATATGATTGTCGGGGAAGAGTTTTTTGCAGTCGGAAAAGGAAAGACAAGTACAGTAAGAGAAGAGGAGAGAATAGGAGAGCCACGTTTATTACAGGAGTTGACCATGTCTATTTACCTGATCTTCCATCAGCAGGATGAGCCGCGTCACCACAATGTTCACTGCATTCCCCAGGCTAGAATCCTGGAACAGTTTGGCAACCTGACCTCCAGGGAAACAAGAAAAGAGCAGTCTTAAAAATAGTTAATAGACCAGAGGAGAAAATAACACTAGAGCCCAGACAACACTTGAAATAAACACCGGAGTAATTCCTCATAAAACTAGATTTGTAATGGCAAGAGAAGTTCTAGGAGGAGAAAGACTCAATCTTGAAAATTGATGGAAAACTACCACTAATACCACCTGATTTCCAGTTCAGAGACTAGCCTTCATGCATTATATTGGAAGATTAAAAACGTATTGGTCAATTCTCTAAATAAGACCACCGTAAACTCTGGATTCATTTGTAGCGAGAAATGCTCAATGGCAAGAGAAAACAGAAGAGTGCTTTGCACTCATCCCTGTCTTTTCCTCTACCAAGATCAATTTTACATTATAACCAAACACTTATTTTACAAGACAGAATAGTCTGAGAATTTTAGAAGGGCTGTAAAGTCAGTGCACCACAAGTATAACTGATTATTTAAGAGTTAAAGCACCAACACTAATAAAAAAACAACCAGAGTTAGAACCACTACTACAGACACTTGTCATTAGTGGTGTCTGCTGTAATTTGGCACACTTTGCTCCGCACCACTGAGGACACGCTGTTGGTTTCAGAGATTCTGTAACACTCCAGATGCAACCTGCTTGTAACAATAGTGGCTGACCAACCCTTCATTACATACATTCCTAACATGTGTCTGTATGAGTTTAAAGTGATTAACTGTGTGTGAGAAGATCCGCAGTGACAAGAAACGGTTAAGATGATGACATACAACCTGAGCGTGACAGTAAAACATGTGGCCTTCACCAGGACAAAAAAGAAAAGGTTTATGCATTTGTTTTCCTTTCTGTCTCTAAGCATTAATCATGCAACTAAATTAAACCAAATGAATTTATTTTAACAATAAATAAACAAGTTGTTGACCTAAATGTTTTGTTTACTTGGGTTTTTAACTGGTTTTAAAAGGGTTTTGCATGAACATACTATTGCATCATTATAGTATCTATAAAAAAATATATATATTTCCTTTGTACAAACACGTACAAAGAAGTGATATTAGACATATTGAACACCAAAATAGCTTACAAAGACTGTCCAAAACAAAAACACAACTTATATTTCACATTGTAGACACATTCTTTAATCTCCTCTGAAATATTTCTAATATTAACTTGACTCCAACCTGCTGTCAGTTTTGTTTCGATGTCAAGTAAACAAACCACAATTGCCTGATTTTCCTACTAAAAGCTTAGAAAAAAGCTGAACTACACAATACAGAACAACATCTTGGCTTAAAGCTTTAGGTAGATCTGCCATGCCTAAGAAATGAATTTATTTTATTCATCAGTAATGACTCCAATAACACTGGGAAAGTGGCTTTTCAATACATTGTGAATTTGCATCTCCGGTGTTGTGAAACTTACAATATTCATGACAGCCAGGATGTACTGCTCGATGTCTCTGCGTCCATGGTAACCCACCATCATCTTGTCAGCTACCACTAGCGTCTCCACGTAGCGCTCGCGGCTAACTGAGCGCTTTAGAGGCAGCTGGCCACGACCGACATGATGGGGAGGCGTCTTTAGAGTTCGCTGCCACCATGACGCGCCTTTCATCGGCTTCTCATCTGAGGAAGATCACACATACACGATTTGATGGCATATAGTAAGAAATCACAGAAGCACAGCAGCCAATCAGCCAATTATACATTGAAAAAAGAACGACTCACTATAGTTTTCCTACAGCACTCTACCAACCAGAATGATGCCTGAACACACTTTCAATTGATATACAGCATACCAAACAAGGTTAGTAAGGGGTTTGTTTTTAACTTTTTATTTGCAACAATATTGTTTTCTGAAAATACTTTTGCTTTTGCAGCAACGCCCTACAACACAGACTCAGTCACACCCAATCACAAATGGGAACTCAGACACAACCTCAACCTCAACCTGCTGCTGCTGCGGCTGGCTGCTATGCAAATCAGTCTGGGGACGTTTACTCCTCCAGTCTGGACCAAACTTCTGCTAATAAAAAGCCCAGGATATCTCTCCTCTTACCAACGACTCCACAGGATTTGCCCTTGTATTGATGGCGGAGCGATGACCGCTTGTAAACCACATGGGGGCGCCCCTCTGTTCTCTCCCCCCGCTCCGTCCCGGTCTGGTTATCTGGTGAGACAAGGGGTTCAATCAGGTACTCCTCTCCCCCTGCAACAATCACCCCCTGCTGCAGAGAGTAGAATAGAACAGAATAGAATAACAGGAATCATTGCTTTCATGAAATATCACAATCGTCACATTATTAAATAACACACATCATCCAAAATGCTCCAGTAATTATACAACCAAAATCAATCACTTATGTGCTTTAGTGACAAAAAACTATGAGCAACAAAGCAGGCAAGGTACATTAAGGTGAGCAGAAGTGAGTCTGAGGCCCTCTGAGGGATCCTCGTGCTAATGGGTCAGAAACTGGCAGTTGGAGAGGGTCAGACTGCATAACAACCTCTGGGCTTCCACTGCAGCAGATTTTGAGCACAGGGTTTAGTTTTGATGAAATGTCTGAACTCCATGTACGATCACTTTCTATCTATAATTTGAAAATTAGAACTTTACATACTTTTCAGAGTGAGCATCATATTTGGAAAGAGGCACATCAGTTTATATTACGTTAGCATTCATAATATAGTTTCTTAGGTAACATTTGATGGGTACAATACTAGCAGCAGTTACAAAGCATTTAGTGAGAGATATTTGATTCAAACATACACACAAACACACATAATCACACGTGAGAGCATGAAAGAGTGAATGAGAGCGAGAAAAATGAGAGTGAGACAGAGAGCGATACACTAACACTTCCTTTGAGTCTGCTCAGATGTGTTGGCTCGGTCAGAGCGAGCGTCTCCCCTCGACTCACTGCGGCGGACTTTAAAGTGACTTTAATCCCATAATAAAGTTAGTGATGCTCCCCTGGACACACCACCCGCTCGCTGGTGAATGTGCTCATGCTGGTCTGACCAACAGTAATTAAGTGTGCTTCTTATTAACGCTTTGTGAGCACATCTAATCCTCAGCTGTGTATACAAGCCTGCTGTTTGTAGTGAGAGGATACACAGATACACAGTGCTGTGAATGCGTGGACATTATTTCAGCCAACAAACTGATGCATGACAATTAGGTGATCCAGTCCAGTGATTCATAGAGGGAACTAACTTTGATCTCTTTTTTTGTTGCAGTCACACGCTGATGACTTCATGAGAGTGGGAAATACAGTATATTCAATTAAATGTATGCTTTGAAAAACTGTTCAAATATAGACATAGGGTCCTCAATTCAGATGTTTTTCTCTTAAAACCTGCCTGGTTGACCACAGCTCCGGTTACTAATATCCTATATTTTCCCAGTCTGCATTTAAACAGCACCATTGAGCATGCCAGAACATGATGCATTGTAGGTTATAGGTAGATGTTAAACTTCAAACAATGTGCTGAAGGTGCTGATCTGTTTAACAACACCCCTGCATTGTTACCATGTCAGAACAGGGCCCATTTAATATAGCTTTAGGGAAGATTTGCATTTCTTTCTAAGGTTTTGAAACGTTTTTTTATTCTTTCTTTATGGAATTATTTTAATCACTTTTGTGAAATATAGTGCTGAATATCATAATTTGTACACACTGAGTCTTGCCTAAAAAGGTTGTTCACATCTAGAGCCAAAAACAATCTCCTATTTAATTGTCTTTTTTGTATTTGAGTGTCTTTCGTCGTTTTCTTTCTTTTGCATTTCTCTTGATGCTTTTGATTTTTTTATGTTAAGCACTTTAAATGTTATTCTTGCCGAAGTGTATAAATCAACGCTAATATATACATAATCCTTACTTGCCTCATCAACTTTGTTCATTTCATACATGCCGATGCCACGTTTCTGTTGTATTTGAATTATGGTTATGACCAATTTCCAAATTTAAAGGTGGGGTAGGTACATTTGAGAAACCGGCTCGAGATACACTTTTTGTTATATTCCATGGAATGCTCTTAACATCCCGATAGCAATGAATATTTGAAGTGCTTTGACAATAAATACATAACAAAATGTCATCTGTGGAAGCCGTAGCGCTGTAAAAAGCACGACCAATCATCTGAGCCGGCCCGGCTAAAATAATTGGATGGCCTACCTGCCTGTCAGCCTTCCATCTGGGCACAAACTTATCTCGTGCCCTCATTGGTCATGTGCGCGTTCGTGTGTGTTGGAGGAGGGGCTCTGTAAGGAAGAGGCAGATTTGTTCCGGTTGTGTATTTTCAAATTCTAGCGCACTCGAGCTGGTTTCTCCGAAATTACCTACCCCACCTTTAAATAGTGTTCAGATCAAAATCCAAGTAGTAATTAAAACAGGAAAGCTTTGACTTGGCACTATATGAGACGAAACTGCCTGAAAACCAAACAAACGTAAACACCAATGTCTGCCAAAGTCTATCTTTCACGAAAATTAAACCAAGATTTTTGTATTTGAAATTAGATTGTCAATGCACAACATTTTTTACCTTCACATAAGCATCATTTTTTACCCCTCCATTCCATATGACGTGTCGTGAACATGGCAACATCTTTTAAGAGAGCATAGGGAATGGTAAAGTAATTTCTAGATTTATTTTCGTTTATTACTTTATATAACATGGGCCATGCAGAACACACATTTTGAGCCAGAGTTAGCTATACAGCTTATTTGCATCTGCAGTTACCTGATTGTTAAATGGTGGTCAAAGTTTGTATGCCTGAAGTTGTTGTACTGGATATTTAACAACATCATTGTTATGTCCTATAAACTTGATTAAGTATCTGTAGGGATATAAATGCCTACAGAAAGAATTAAAGTACCTTTTTAGGATTTAATTTCCAGTGCCCTACATTTTTGAGGACCACACTGGTTGGTTTGCAAAGAATAAAGCTGGCTTGAATGCTCAAACTTTGTTTAAATGTCAAGCTTTGATGTCCAAATCAAGCATAGCTGATCCCTCATTTGCTGGGCCAGCACGACGGCCGCTGACCTCACTCAATGTATTAGATGTGGATTAGACTTGCAGGTTTTAAGTCTTACCAGGCCATTACAGTTGCTCAGGGCGACTTTGCTGGAGTGCGGCTGGTCTTGGAGGTGTCCTACATAATGGCAATGGGGAGAGTAGGGATGACTCCAGGCTAAACGACCTTTCTTCCAATACTCCACCCTGAACTGCCGGGACAGCAGGCCTCCCTGCAGCGTCAGGTTCAGCAGGAAGTTGTTACGTGATGTGGAAAGCTGGTAGAAGAGCTAATAGATAGAAAAGAGAGTGGAGTTAAACAAAAATCTCTATTTAAAAAAAAAAAGTTGTGCATACGTTTAAGACAAAGAAAAAAATGAAGTCATTTTCAAAAAGTAACTTACAGAGTCAGGCACTCTGTCCTCAGTGCTGCGTCTTCTTCTGTGATGTTGTGGCGTTTCTGCATCCATAGTCTCGCCATTGGGTTCTACACGTATTGGGATGGCAATCTCATACTGGCCGAGACTGGACAGGAAGGCAGCTGGAGGGAGAGAAAAAAAAGGCATAAAACCTCAAATATGAGTTTAACTTAATAATGCCAAAATGCAGCTTAATCTTATTCACCCTAATTTAAAAAAGTTGAGGATTTGGGGGTTGCTTATTTTAAATAACTTTCTGGCCCATTACTGACAAGGTCCCTCCACTCCAAGAGCTCCTTCCCGCATGAGGCCAAAAGGGATGTTGCCATAGTTACCCTGAAACTGTATACTTCCTGTCTGTCCCAGTCTGTGACGGGCCTGGTGGAGATTTATTGTCCAAACACACACGGCTCCAAACAGCCACCGTCAGCTAACTAACGGGGAAAGGTCACCAGCAAATGAGACCAGTTTTCATCAAACCTTTGGCCTCACTTGGTGGGGCCGTGGCCCCTTCCCACACAGAGTAAATACCCAGAGATCAGAGTTCCCTGGTACAGACTTGGAGAGCTCTGTTATGGGAAAAACCACTCTGAAGGCAACGGATAGGTCTGGCTTGAATAAACAGTAAGCACAATTACAAATGCTGCCTTCACATGGAGCTTGTGAGGCTGTACTGTATTTTCGAAATGGAGAGTAAAGTTAAAAACATGCTCTGCGTTTTAGGTTTAAGTCACACAAATGGAAATTGGCTTGGTTTCAAAAATTGGTGAATGACTTGGCGTTTTTTATATTTTAAATTTGAAGTTTATGTTTCTTCCCCATATGTAGGTGAACCTCTTGAAATAAGGGTTTGAGAAGGAGGGACAGCCTGTGAAGTTATAACTTGAAATCATTGTAAAACTGTGTAAGCAGCGGGTAGTCATGGCAAGCTTTCATACTCAACAATTAAATTAACTGATCAACAAAAGGGTGATCGGCCCACACTTAGGAACTCGATTTCATTTATATTAACGTGATAAAAACGAGCCATGTAATGAATAACTGGGTAAACGTTAGCTAGCTAAACATGCCTTGACTCATGGGATGCCGAACTGGCCGAAGGTCCAAGAAAGAGGCAAGTGTTGTTGTTAGTTCAAATAATCCGGTTTTTAAAAAATATAGTGGCAACAGAATGTTTAACTTCATATTGTTACCTTCTTAGAGCTCTAAACTGCTTCCCACAACACATCCATCCTGCTCTGAAAAACCACCACAAGTTATCAGGCAGGTGGGATTATCATTACCTTTGAAGCACAGGAAAAGCTCCCGGAGAGAAAATAAGGGTAGTGTGTTAATGAAGTAGATGTACCTCACCTCCAAGGAAGAAATTAATGAGACCTCACACAGAATAAAATGTAGACTAATGAAAACTAGTTAAACAAATTACTATGTAGTTTGAACTAAACGTTTAAGCGGAAGTATTTTATGACTTAATAAAATGGATGAGGAATGTCTTAAGACTTTCTACAACTGCATATCAAAAAACCTCCAATTTCTACTATTTATATATACAAGTATTTTATATTACAGTATATACAATGCAAACTATTCCTTCCTGGTGTTCTCAAGTTCACCCTGAGAGAATTAACTAGTACACATATTTTATATGATATCTTTGGCAAACTGAGCCCTTTTGAGCATTTGACTATGTTACAGTAAGTAGACATCAAAGCAAAGAGAAAACTGAGAGTGGAAACATGTCGGCTAAATTTAACAGGAGACTAAAACGGTTTCATCCAGAAGCAGGGGCATCACCCTGATTTCTATTATCTGCAAATAAAAATAGTGGAAGGAAATATTCTGGATGGAAACTGTCCCTCCCTCAACCCAGACACACCCTAAAGGCAATTCAGACCAAAACGCCTTGTTTCAAATAACTACTACATGAGAAGGAATAATCTGTGACTATCCCATCAGTACTAACTACAAGAGAGAGAATTGGTGGCACAAGTCCTCACTTTAGGATTATCATCCTGTATTTCTATGCAGACTGTGTCTTCCTCCTGTAAATAGGGAAGTGACATATGCACATACAGAAATGTGGACATTGTCCAAACTTAATTGCAAATGCTACAAGGCCATTATATTCCATTGCCTACCTACACATTCAGCAGCCACAAAAGCCTTGTCATTGTATTTCCTGTCAGCGACAGATTTAAGTCCAATATTCAGTCTCTATTTTAGTTTCATTTTTGGTGTCCACGACTTCCAGAGAAATAGTTCTGGTATTTTAGCTGCATTTACAGCATTTTCCCTTTATAAACAGTACTGCCATTTACACCAAGTAGTTGCTATCTTTGTCTGTATGCTGCTTGGTTTTAAGCAGATTTTATCAGCTGCCCACTGTGGTTGGAAAACACGATTGATGACAGCAGATTTGCTGAAGAGAAAATAGTTAATCACTAAAAACAACCCTTCTTAAATTACAGTTATTTGAGCTTGGTAATAAAAAAAAAAGTTAGGCAGGCTTTAGGACCAAACTGTTTGTACCTGTAAAATGAGCCACGTCAGGGTCGGAGGGGTGGGTTATTTAAAGAAAGCAGCATGGCAGACAATTGGAGACAAATGGCTGGAGGGGGTCAAAGGTTAAGTTTAGGAAATACACAATCATAGCCTTGTTCAGGATGACGAGACAGGGAATTTAAGTCTTTGCCTTCAGAGGGATTTCAGGCACTCCAGCCTCTCTTTGAACATGAGAGAGACTGTGTGGTTTGAGGTGGTGGGGGGAGCGTGGGGAGAGCGTGGCTGAACCACAGCTACATGATTTGTTGAAGTAGAGTTCAAGTTCAGCAGCCCAGACCTGCAGGTCTGAAGTGTGCCTCAGATGGTCAGGCTGACCTCAATGCTTTTTCTACAGCTCAGGAAGAAGACTAGTACTTTGTACTAGGAACAAACATGGAATCCTTTAATAACAAGTAAAGAATACATTAAATATAGAAAATGTAATTATTTTCTCAACATGAGTATGGGTAGATTGTGAACATTATTTTTGCTTAAATAAAAAAACTGATTTCACTCTGGGCACCGCAAAGGTAACATATATTAAAGGACTCTTGCTCGCAACATACTGAAAATAATTAGACATTCCCACAGTATAAAGCTAAGCTTACAGCCAATTAACCAATTGTATTTACCAAAGACCTAATAGTGTGTTTAATTCTAACTCTGGTTTGGTTTCTTTAAAAAGGTCAACCTGTGTTATGCAACCTGGCATTAGACCTGCTCAAAGACTGGGGTGTCTGACTTTGCTGTTTTTGGTGGGAAATCACAAACACAAGTTCATATATTACCAAGATTAGGGTAATAGCTATAGAATAGACAGTATACCTGAAACTGTAATGGGATTACCCTGATTTCATAGTAGATATGATGTACTCTCACCTTAAATTCAGCTCATCTCAGCCACTGAAGGCTCGGTATAAGACCTCAACAGATTATTGGTATTGACCAAAATGTTTTGTAGCACCAAGAGATTGTCAAGTACTAAAAACTGGCAATAAATGTCTGATTCAGATATATTTATCCATCATTGGAGCTTTGGTCATACCATTTATACTATGGTACCTATCCTTACTTCCTGTGGGTACATTAGCCTATTGTGGGCCGTGATCCATATCAATTGACAAAATTGGCTACAATTATTTTGTATACGATTACAATAGTTTGTCAGGTATTTGATGTGAATATAATCGCCTCCTCTCACCTTGTGACTGGGCGAACTCATCTCTGTGACCTCCTTCGACCTCTGTGGCAACCATTACGATTATGACAGTGCAAACCAGACCAGTCCTCCATAGCGTTTCCATGGTTACTACAGTAGTTGCTATAGTAACAGATTTCAGTGCAGTGGTCCCCGGGCCTCTGTCCCAACATGTCTTCTGCCCTCTCGGATGCCCCAACGCCTAGCAGTGGGACGGCTCAGCGCTCTGTTGGGCCATGGCTGCTGTAGACCTCAGGATCATGTAGACATGGCTCGGCTGCAGCTTGTAGATCAGCAGGTGTGGAGGGATCCTTGAAGAGTCCTCAGAGCAGAAGAGAGGGATCTCTGAAGGGGCTTAGCAGCAGTGTCAGATTTAGACTCCTTCTATATCCCTGTGAAAGATAAGATGTTTAGTGAGGAAGGCCAGGAAATGGAGTAAAATAAATTGTGGGAGAGTCAGATTTAGGCTAAAAAGGGAGGAACAATGCAGACTTAAAACGATTCAAACGAGAGAGAGCATGAGATCTCTTTGACCCATGCAGTTCCAGTTCTAACAAAACAAATCTACCCAGTTCATATTCAGCGTCCAATGAAGGACTGCCCAGTCCTGCTTTGTTCCTTCAGCTAATCAATCTTGGCTTTGGCGAAAGGCAAACACCCTGTCTTTCACTCTGATGACCGGAGACAACAGCAGGTCCCAACCTGGGGCCCCTGAGGCCCCGCTTTTTAAGCTGCCTGCCCACCGGAAAGAGTTCAAACACAAAGAAAGCCATTGATCTTGTAAAAAGCTGCGCTTAATTCCCAAACAGGGCTTGAAGTGGGTATTATGTCAGAGGCTCTGGGGGTAAAATGAGCCAATTTGAGAGGAGCAGCAGGTTGCCATCACTGCTTCGCTGACTGTGGTGGTGGGTTGTATGGCTGAGTGACTTGCTGGCTGGCTGGCTGACAGTACAGCTTACTAATTGGCAGGCGTCCTGGCCCGCAGACAGATGGTATGAGTGCCTATATGAAACTTGTTTACATTTGAGACAAAGGGTAGAGTACTGTGATAATTATAGCCTAAACCAGACTTGGCCAAGAAGGCAAAACTGATATTGGTATTTGTTTGTTTTCAGTTTTTCATTGCTCCTTGGTGGACAAACTACTTCAACTAGTTTGTGTTTCTAAAATCCAGCACCAACTACTGCTTCCCTACTACTGCTTTTTTAAATATAGATTCAGGCTCACACGACATTGTCATTGAATTGCATGAAACTATTGAACGTCCAGCTCTTCATTTCAGCAGGGCACTGCATATTACAGGACCCATTGGTGAATGTCATCTGTATACTACTTCACAATGCCAGTGAAATTTATTGTTTTTCTCAACCAGCAGACGTAAATTATGGTTTTACATTTTAGTCACAACAGGGAATGATGTCCATTCCTTTTTTCGGAATAGAAAGTTTGTATGACAACGCTAAATGGTCATTTGGAGGTAACAGTTCAGCCAGACTGACATCATAGATGTAAAACTTGGGTCTCTTGTTCATTTTCCAGACTACTAATTTAAATTTCATGTGCTAAACATAAACCAAGTTTTTTTTATTGGGTACTATTCTATTTTGTACTGACAGACCAACATAAGAGGATCTGTTTTATAATGACAAAGGAAAACTACCCACAGTACCAATTATGAAAACAGACCAGAGCCAAGATCGGAACTCACATTTTATGGGTACCATTCTGTTTGACTTGAGTTTCTTGACTATGGATTGCAGCATCAGCTAAAATAAACCATTCCTTGCTATTCTCCAGAAAAGTCTGCCCACCCGGCTCACTCTTGTCCTCCCCTGCCTCCCCTCCATCCTTCCCTCAGTGCTGTCTGGGGAGAGAAGAGCGAGCGGAGACGCCACACTGCCCCAGATGGCTGGCGGCAAACCAACTGCAGCCAAAGGTAATCGGAAGCAGATGGGAAACCTTTTGGTGACGAGAGCAGGGGGAACAAGTTGCCTCCTGAAAAGAGGAGGGAAAAAAACCAATGCAAAGCCCAAGGGGAATGAAAGAGAGACAGCGGAGTGTAAGCTGTTCGAGCCAGCTGGGAGAGTCATTCTTGAGCTTTAGTGCTGAACCGAGTGTGAAGGAATGAATTGAAAAGAGCATTAATGTGCCTTTTATTTAAGTTAAAAAACAATGAGAAGGTATAGTAAAAAAGAGCTTTCTTTAAAAACACTGAGGGGTCTTTTTACTGTTGCAGCTTCTCTCATACGTGGTACAACGGAACGTCTTTCTCTCTTCCCTCCCTAAGGCTTTCTCCCAGTCATTTCCTGCAAAAGCCAAACTCTCCTCCATTTTCATTACTTCTTCTGCTCCTTCTCTCAATTTATAGTGGGGTTATTAAACTTGCAGCTTGATATCAAGACTTTTCATTACATCTAACTCTCTTTTTGTTTATTTAAACAAGAAAACAAGGGGGAGACCGGACCCCCTAGTGCTGTCCCTTGGTGCTTTTTAAGTGAAGCTGCTTAAAAAGATTTGTGAACAGCCATCAAAAGATCCTCACAACAACACTGCCTTCTTGGTAAATGATTGCCCCATTATAAACCACACAGAATTGCAGCTGAATTAAGAGAGAGCTGTCTCGCAGAGGTCTCTTGTGCAAAACTTTCCCTCTGGGCTGTATCACTTTTGAGCGAAATAAAAAACGTATGTTTGTCAGCAGGCCAAGCTCTCCGACTCTCCGCTCTGTGCTTTGCTTGGATTAGCTGCGAATATCGAGCATGAAGCTGCAATCGCGGCCAAGAGAGAAAGTGGTCCGAGCTGCAGACAGGCCACACAATTTCCAACGCAATCACAATTTGCAAAAGAGAAAAGAACAAGGGGAGAAGAAAGGGGTCATTGTTAACAAGAGAGAAAAGTTGGACCGCTCAGGATAATAAGGTGGGGATTTTAGGATAGGCCCAAATGGCAATGCAATCACGCCAGTGGACTCAGTTTGACATGTCATTTTTTCATCTTGTCATCCACTAGTGACAGCTGCTTTTAATGTGGTGTAAGGGATGTACAGTGAGTTTTTTTTTCTTTTAAAGACTACAGCTAACTATGCTGTCCTTGTCTTTAACTGTTGCCAGGGAGAGTGGAGCTATCCGAACACTAGCACGTTAATCAAAGCCATATGACCGGCTCAAAGTAAAGTCTGTGTGGAGCGAACAGATGCTAAGTGTCCCTCAGCTTAGCTTCAAGTCTAGCACTCCCCCCCACTCACACACACATACATACTGCTTCCACTTTGATCCGGGAGTAGCTCATGAATCAGCTGTAGGTTCAGTTTATTATTTCATTAAACTAGTGGTGTGGATTCTCCTTCCTAATAACACTGTGAGGCTGTGGGACCAAATAACTGAATAAGACGAATGTCACAAGTCAGATGGAGCGTTTAAGACAGCCTCTGCAAAAATAACTCCCTCTATAAGACTATAGCTTCACAAAGAGCTCCACATGAAACCCTGAACAGGTGATAGAAATAAAGCAAAGAACCGGGGGATATTTCCCAGACTAAACCCTCATTCTCTCTGTCTGGTACAAAGACAGAGAGAGAAAGAGGCAGGCATTCCTTTCTCAATTTCCCCAAATAAACAGTGTGCAGATGAAAAGTGGGAACATAAACAGGCCAGAGAACCTCGGACGTGCTCCCCTAACTCTGAAAATGTGCCTCTCGAGTCTGAAACAATATTTAGTGAGAGAGAGAGAGAGAGAGAGAGAGAGAGAGAGAGAGAGAGAGAGAGAGAGAGAGAGAGAGAGAGAGAGAGAGAGAGAGAGAGAGAGAGAGAGAGAGAGCGAGCTGACTCAACACTAGTGAGTCAGCCAGCAGCACTGGGAACACAGCACAGATGGTAGAGGAAGGTTTTCTCTTTCTGTCTTTTATCATATTAATTTCACCATTTTTTGTATCTTCTTTAGGACTGCAAAGACACCACATATACTCAGTTTAGTCACATAGCTGCAAATTGAATGCAGTGGTTCCACATCAGTGATCAGCATGCATAAACTGATGTGGATTGTGCATCTAATGTGAGAAAAAACCCTGAAAAACAAATCTTATAATATGTCTACCACCCGAATATGCAAACAAATATATTAAACACATTTTAAGAGCATGTGTTAATTCTACCAAAAACCGATGCATGACTCACAAAGATCAAGAATGCAACTATGATAGAAATAAACCTGCATCTTTCTGCAAATTCTGCTGAAAAATGACTCATTTCTGATGCATATTCAGGAACCAAATATTGGCATCCATGTGCACAAAGAAGTCCTACATATATTCACATTATGTGTGTTACAGAAGATAATATTAAAGCTGGAAATATAATAAATAAATCCCTATAATATTTTAAAATCCTGATAGATAAAGTGTTTTTCTGCTTAATTACTGCTTTGTTTTCCATCAATGAGCTACATGTTGGTCCCCTAGCTTATGTACCTGTCAGCCACATCATCTCCACACACACACACACACACACACACACACACACACACACACACACACACACAACACACACACACACACACACACACACCACACACACACACACACACACACCACACACACAACACACACACACACACACACACACACACACACACACACACACACACACACACACACACACACACACACACACAAACACACACACACACAACACACACACACACACACACACACACACACACACACACACACACACACACACACCACACACACACACACACACACACACACACACACACACACACACACACACACACACACACACACACACACACACACGATGACTGGACTGCCTTGTCATCAGTCAATGAGGCGATTCGAGCAATAACTATTTTATCTTGAGCCAATTAAAACATTGATCTTAGGAGGAATGCCCTAATGTAATACACACATGCATTAAAGAAAATGTAAATGTATATGCATACCATGATCCTTTGGTAACACAATGAAAAAGCTAAAAGACGAAACATTCAACGTCTGCAAATGGTTTTTTGCAGAAATTTGCGTTTTTCTAGCTGAGAGCAGCCTCCTGCCAGCATCATGGCATGGCCGCTTTCCTCCAGAGGTGTGCATTAGAACAGAGAGTGTGGCCGGGCGCGCGGACCTACCTTCCCGTTGTCCCCTGCAGAAGTTCCGCTGTGAGTCTGTCCCTCTGTCCACCGCAGCGGAGCGGAGAGGAGGCGGCGCCGGCGGGTGACTGAGGAGACTCAACTTCTTCCACTTCCAGCAGCACAGATCCACAGTTTGTTGTCGAGTCACCCACACTTAGTTTATTGGACTTCCGGTGACAGCTTGCAAAATAAAAGTCGGAACTGCAAAAGGGCCTTTGCAGTTTTTGGATCAAATAATGAGCTGAATTGAGTGTGTATGGTTAGACAGGTGGTATATAGTAAATACACTTGTTTATGATAACCCTGATTTTTAATTGCATTACTGCTCTGTGCACTTTTCATTTTAGGCCACAATTATTAATGATTAATTTACTTATTTATTTAAAAACCTACATGTGTATCACTCCTGCAAACAACACAAAAACACTACCCTTGGTTCATCCCTTAAATAGCCACATGACTTCTCTCCTATATAATCAATGAACTATAGTTATTTCGTTTTTTGTTATATATTTTAACAGCTGCATCATACTACATCATCCAATTTGGTTTGCATAGTTTTCATTTTCTGTGGTCCATTCCCATTATGGGCCAAGGCAAGGGAGGAGTAACTTTATGACAGATTGCAACTCTGAGATGTTTCCTAAATAATTGTAATAACGAAGGAGGATTTGCATGATATGTTTTCTAAAGTGCACAACTTTTCTTTACATTTTTTATTTGTATTTTAGGTGCTATAAAAGGTGACGAAATGCTTTGTTAAAAAATGAAATACAAAGTAAAAAACAATGTAATGTTTCCTAAAATTATGTTAATGCCATGTTTTAGGCTAAGCTTGACTCCATCGGAAGAGAGGTGCATTTATCGTTAATAAGTAAAAGTATGGCTTTATTAAATTATATTATTTCAAACTTTTTGAGAGCAGAGAAGCAACTGGAGCTATAAATCCATATCATATTCAGTAAAAAAAATATATAAAAAACCCAATGGTGGAACTAATTCAAACTGCATATACGTTTGCCAACTTTTTTCCAGGTTATTATTTTCTTAATGCTCTGCTGTGTTTAAAAGTAAAAAGTATACACTTTCAAACCAAGCACAAACTCAACTTTTCCTTTTGTCAAAACATACTTGCCTACTCGTTTTTTACTCATAACCTTTTTTATACATTGACAAGAGTAAAGGTGCTTTGCAGATTCATCAGCAGAAAGTACTTTTTAAACGGAGAACTCTTGGTTACCAATTTCAAGAACAGTCTGAATGAACATTGCTGCTTTTATTTTGAAAGCACGCATCTTGTTTTCCGTTTTAGTTTCGTGTGTTGTTGTGAGACTTGCTTGAGGGGAGTCTGCTGATTGGCTGCCTGATCTGAGACCGAGGAAGCAGCTGCAGCGTCAGGTGGGGGTTTGTTTGAGAGGCCACTTTAGTATCTCTGCTATTTGTACTGTGGCTATTCCACAAGTGTTGTGTGCGTACGTGTAATGGTTCATCTGTATTGAAAAGTACAACACACTTCATATAGAAATGAGGAAAGATTAAATCCTTTTTAACCTCACCACTGTGTACATACATTCACATTAAGATGAATTAGCAAGACATAACATAGGAGTAAAGAATGCTACAATTAAATTGTAAAAACAATATTTCTATTTGATGCTTTTGTGTAAATTGTATTACCTCTGGAAGGTTCCCCCATGCTTACTGTTGTTTCCACTCTGTATGTTAAGCTAACCATCCAAATATTGGCTTCGTATTTTAAAGGAATAGTATACGACATAATGGTAGAAACACATGATCCCAATATATATTGGCAGAAAGTAGGAAGTAGAGCAACATTTAAACACACATGAGAGGGGGGGTTGCTGTTTTCATTGTACTATATCAGCAAGAAAGCAACTACATGGAATAATATTTCCAAAAGGTGTCAACAAAATTATGTATTTAATGTTGCGTTAACCGAGCTTTTATATTTTGACACATTATACAGTTTGCAGTTCAATCATGATTTAAAGAGCTCCAAAGAAGAAAGAAAATGCATAGTCCTATAGAGTGTGTGTGTGTGTGTGTGTGTGTGTGTGTGTGTGTGTGTGTGTGTGTGTGTGTGTGTGTGTGTGTGTGTGTGTGTGTGTGTGTGTGTGTGTGTGTGTGTGTGTGTGTGTGTGTGTGTGTGTGTGTGTGTGTGTGTGTGTGTGTGTGTGTGTGTGCGCGCGTGTGCGTGTGCGTGTGTGTAACCCCAACTTGTTCACAGCACCATACTCCACTGTCAGATCAACAGATATATCCTTGTCTCTGATGCAACAGCACGCTTGTTTAGCGGTGAAGCAGGAAAACGAACTGTAAGTAACTTAAATTGTCAATGTTTATCTGATTCAACAACAGCCATGCTTTGTATTGTTGGAATACACATTTTTAAATTAACAAAAATAGAAATATTGCACTTAATACGATTAGGTTAATGGGCCTGAGGAAAAGTTGTATTAAAGTAATGCAACAAAAATGTTTACTTTTTAAAATGTATTTCCCTTAAAATCAATGTTTCTCTTGAATCAAAAATGCTTTCCAATACACATCTATCTATAACATAGTTTATTAGGGGGTTTGGCTGTGTTAAAAGTGTATTTTAATACTTTTTATCATTATTCTTTTACATAAAGTTCCCAGTAATTTAATCCAAATTGAGTGTGTGACCTAAAATGATCTGTGGTATTTATATTCGAATTAATCTTTTTAATTTAAGCCATACATTCACAGTTTAAATGTTTGTTTCTATATTTCCATAGCCAAGTGTGTGTGTTACAACGTTTGGCTAAGGCATTGTTGCTTTGGCTTACAGAAGTAGAGATAACATGTGCAAAAATATAAATAGCTGCTTTCATTGTGCCTTGGAATAGAAAACCAAAAATGGGTAAAGAGCTCTGTGTGTGTGTCATTTATCGCTTGTTACTTTTCTTGAAATGACTGGATGTATTTTTGGTCCTGGACTGAAGCATGAAATGTTCCAGCCACAGTCTGACAATATCGGTCTGGTTAGCCAAAAGGTTACAAAATACAAAATACAAAATGTGCTTGTTAATTCTGAGTGTAAGTGTGACAGTGTTTACTGACATTCAAACATTACATTTAGTTCCAGCTGAAACAACAGTTGACACCAAAGCCTCATTATAATAAGTTTAACTGACAGATGCAGATGAACCTCTTATCCAAGTGCAGCTTATCCTTAAGTTGTTTTCCAATCATCACTTAAACAAAGGTGGGAAACAATTAGTTCATGTATGAGGGTTAAAGGACACATTATCTGTGGGTTGATGCCTACATGTTCTCTAATGCTGATGTACGTATGGAGGAATGCTCTGAGTTACATAACAACAAGCTTACTTCCTGATAGCACAACCCAAATAATCAGGATCTAAAATAACGTAAATAGCTCAATAGTTATCACTGGAATGTTCTTGATTAAGTTATCTACAGAATAACAGCTTTTCCTTGTTAAAGAAGCACATTAAATCACTGACCTCATGGTATTGCTCACACGTATGATTCATGAGAATAAAAGGGTTTAAATGTCTCTGTACGAATGAGTCTCGACGCTGTTGAAGGGGTTTGCGTTTTGTGCTTTTACTCTCTATAAACAGAAATAAAGAGGTCTTTATTTTCCTGACCCCCACTTGATCTTGCAGCCTGACGTTAACGTTAGCACTGAAGTTTTTTAGATGTTTGGGTGCAATGTTATAATGAAAAAGTCGAAGACAATGACATCACGTCACATTTTTTCCACTATATATATAATTTTATTTTTAACACTAAAACTAAAATGGTGGCGTTGACACAAAACAAAGACCGAAAACGCTAAACAAAAAGGCTGTTTAATAATTGTTAATCTATATCAAATGGAGTATATAAGGTCTATCAAAAAATCTACTAACTCGGAAACTACATTTTCAACAAAAATAAGTCATTAGTTTGATCCTCTGTTAAATCTAAATCGTTTAAATTATTAGTGAAGGGCTTCATATATTTTCAAATATAAACATTATTGTTTTAAGGCTGTGTCAGCCAATGCTAATGGCTCTGTGGATGACAACGTATGTTTGTCATTTCACTACATTGGTCCAGAATGAAAGATCTCAAATACTGTTTGATGGAGTTCTTAAAGCTTTGTTTTGATGGTTGTTTTATGTCTTTATTGGGGCAATAGAATATTCAAGGGAGCTTTACACTCTTTAGGCGTAGACTATAGCATTGCTACTGTAAACAAGTGTATAGACTCACTCACTTAATAACCCAGGAAGCAGGGGCACAAGCCTCTAAGTATTATCCTTATCCTTGCCTTTCAATCTCTGGCATTGATTAACCTGTACGACAAAAAAATCATATTCAGTTTTTGTAGACAAAAGCTTGACTAGATGATAATCAAGATGTGGTTTTTCATTTGTATTTAATAACATCTACTTTGCGTGTGAGGACTCCTCTGTGGAAAACAAACGGTCACCTCACTTCCCACTTGTTGAAAACCGACTGACTCACAGGAGGTTCTACACAGCTCACTGTCTGCACACTCTGACACTTTATTTGCAGAGGAATTATTTTATTTAATGAAGTACGTTTTTCTACTTTTAATTCAGTTTCTGTCTTTTAAAGTACGCTGTCTTAAATTGAAATAATGGCTTCAGAGGAAGGATACAACTCAACAATGTGGGTTCATGTCATCATGTGTCAGCTCATCGTTACACGCTTTGCTTTCGTGATTTATTATACATAGAGGAGAATAACCTGAATACTGTTTTACAAACTGGTCGTTTGCTTGTGCCACAAACCTTACATCAATAGAACAGCTGTACAAGAGAGCTATCAAGGTGTTTGACAGAAAGCCAAATTCATACCACCACTGTATCCTTGAAAAACTAAATTTCTTAAGTTTTGACAATTTAAAGTCTTTTAAAAGTATGTGTTTTTTTTATAAA